CCTTTCTTCTTCTTCTTCTTCTTCTTCTTCTTCTTCTTCTTCTTCTTCTACTTGTTGACCGGATGAGTGCACTGCTATGTCCAACAACTCTGTTCAGCCCGACTAAGGCCAGGAACTGGCTCCAGCGCTTGACGTAGTTCTGTCTGTGCCACCCTCGACGTCTTCGGCAACTGCTCATATTTGCTTCATACCCTCGTTCGGATCCCCGCCTCAAAGCTCTAAGGCCATCCACTATGCATTCTGTTACCAACTTAGCAGGAATGTCTTTTTTCGTCGGCCAAAGTGGTCACGTCATCAATCCTAAATGAAAATTCGGAATGTTACATAGATTGTAAATGCGGGTGCAATGTGCGTGCGACTATGTTGCTGCTCTAACCTTCTTAATCATATACGACCAAGCTTGATACAAGCTTGACACACGTCGCCATTGTAAGACGGCTTAGTTTATTTGGCAAAAAATGCTGTCCAAGACTGCGCCATGGATGTGATATGCTGGAAGCCAAATGAAGGGCGGACTGTCATCTATTCAAAGCAGGCCGCGCGCTACATGTCATCCTTCTTAATCCTAGCATCAGATGACTGACTAGCTCGTAGAGTGTACAGGTGCCTGAGAGAAGGAAGATAGAGTGAGGTCGACTCTGGAAACTCCGTCCTACGGCATTCAGCGCAGATTCCTAGCTATGGGCAATCTGACGCGTCTTTAAACTATCGCCATGCGGTAAAAACCGTGGTTTGGAAGTCTGACAACGGACGGAACAACTCGTCCCCCCTCTCAGGACGGGCTCAGGCGGCAATAGCTTCTTTGAATGCGACCCCTATGGCAACTCCACTTAGTTGGATTCGAGCTGCCCGCTCGTTTCTGCCAAGCCTTGGTCTTTTTGTGCGCGAACCAGGTCGTGTGTATGGCACGCGTACACGGATGGTTCAGCTCTGTCGGCCACTTGCGCTCAAGTCCCGCATCAGATAACCCGCCGGTCTGTTAAGTGGACCGATGCCTGGGAGAGGGAAGTGATGGCTAGGTCGATTTTGGGGCTCCGTCTCCACGGTAGTCAGTATATAGTACTCACTAATAAACGATCTGGCGGGTTTTCAGACTATCACGATGCACCAAAAGCCGTGGCTTAAAAGGACTTCAACTGACGGGATAAGTCTGCTCTCTCATAAGGGCGAGTTAGGCCGCAACGACTCCTCCTTAATATGGTATCTGCGGCACCGCTACCCAGTTTGGATCTGAACCGGCCGCAAAAATTTGATCCAGGTGTGTGGGGTACATCTAGACGGGCTGTTTAGCTTCCTCAGCCAATGCACCCGGTCTCGTCTCCGGTCTTTCCGATTCTGTCTCGATATCAGGCACAAGAAGAGGAGGA